GTTACCTAGAGAGGTGGTTAAATCTACATCTTTGGAGGTTTTTAAGGCCCAGCTTGACAAAGTCCTAGCTGGGATGATCTAGTTGGGGATGGTCCTGCTTTGAGCAGGGGGTTGGATTAGATGACCTCCTGAGGTCCCCTCCAACCCCAATTTTCTATGATTCTATAATTCTTAATGTTTGCCTTGAGGGTGTTTTTGAAGTGTTCCCTTTGGCCCCCACATGTGCTTTGTCCTTGGCTGAATTGGGAGTGCAGCAGTTGTTTTGGTAAACATACATCAGGCCTGAGCATACAGTGCTTTGTCCACTACAGCTGATGTTGAATAATCAATACTTCCATACTGGCAATGTTAGTGTTGGTGAGGACACTAACATTTGTGCAATGATCATCCCACTTTATGCCAAGGATCTTCCAGAGGTAGTGTGGTTAGTTAACAGCTATATATAGTCTTGCTAAGATTCAATTTTTACTACTAAACACTGATAAACATTGACTTCATACTCACAGACTGATGAAAAAATATTTCCATCATTAATAATCAAAAAGAGAGGACAAGAACAGAAGGCAGTCAAAGGCCAGAGTATAGAAGGTCAGTCTTTTTAAAAGGAAAATAGCAGGTGACCTAATGACTTGTTAATTAAGCAATTAACTGCTCATTCATAGGTGCTGGGAAGTGGCCTGGAGGGAGATAACAGGCAATTTAAACCCCTACCCAAAGGGGAAGGGGACTGTGTGGGTGGGGTGGTGTGGAAGGAGTGGGGAGATGAAGCAACCTACTGGTCTTCTTAGGTTTCTACACTACACTTGACCATTCTCTTACACATGTGTGTGCTCATTTATTGTACTTTGCAAGATCTTTCATTGTAGATGTACCTTCAAGCAGTGGGCATTGCAGCAGGTGCTGCATAGTCTGAGGCTCTGTGCCAGTCACCAGTGATTGAACCAATGGTATAGCCCCACTTCTTCATTAGTTCCTTGGAACATCCAATTCCAATATGTAAGCAGTTGAGAAATTGCCATCACTGCCATGGTTCATCAGTCCCTAACATAAGTACTCAGCCACTGGAATGTACATTTTCTCTCTATCAGGTATTTTCTTCAGCTTTTTGTTCCACATCTGTAGTCATGTCTCCTTGGGTGTAGCATCAAGAAGTTGTGTATTGGTAAGGAAGCTCCTGCATAACTTCAGACTTTTGTGTGTTGCAGGATGGTTGTAGAGCCTAATGGTGAGACTGGTTTCTAGACATTAGGATTGGAAAGAACCTCGCAAGATCATCGGGTCCAGCCGCCTGCCCAAGAGGCAGGAAGTCAGCTAGGGTCAAAGGATCCCAGCAAGATAGGCATCCAAATGTTTCTTTAAAGTGTTCAGAGTAGGTGCTTGCACCACCTCTGTGGGGAGTCTATTCCAGGCCTTGGGGACTTGGAAAGTAAAGACATTTTTCCTTATGTCCAGCCTAAAATGGTCTTCCAGGAATCTGTGAACATTGGACCTCATCTTCCCTTGGGGTACCCTGGAAAACAGTCATTCTCCCAGTTCCTGATGCACACCCCTTATGTACTTATATGCTGCCACCAAGTCACCCCTAAGCCTGTGCTTCTCCAGGCTGAAGAGTTCCATGGCTTGCAGCCTCTCTTCATAAGGCCTGTTCTCTTGCCCTCTGATCATCTGTGTGGCTCTCCTCTGGACTCTTTCAACCTTTTCCATGTCCTTCCTAAATTGTGGAGCCCAGAATTGGATGCAGTACTCCAGATGCAGCCTCAAGCCTGCGCTTCTCCAGGCTGAAGAGTTCCATGGCTTGCAGCCTCTCTTCATAAGGCCTGTTCTCTTGCCCTCTGATCATCTGTGTGGCTCTCCTCTGGACTCTTTCAACCTTTTCCATGTCCTTCCTAAATTGTGGAGCCCAGAATTGGATGCAGTACTCCAGATGCAGCCTCACCAAGGCCAAGTACAGCAGGGGATGACATTGTGGGTCTTGCTCGAGCTGCATCGGTAGAGTTTTGTTTACTTTGCTGGCTACAGTATCGCACTGGTGACTCAAGTTCATCTTGTTGTCAGTCATGACCCCCGAATCTCTTTCAGTTGTGGGTGCTAGCGCATCTAGCATTGCCAACCCTATAGGTGTGATGTGGGTTATTTTTCCTGAGGTGGAGCACCTTGCATTTCTCCGCATTGAATGCTATCAAGTTTTCATCCAACCACCTTTGACCACCTTGAAAGCCTATTGGGGTCAGCCTGGATCACCAGCCTATCTCAAGTGTGAACACTCTTCCCAAAGTTTGGTGTCATCAGCAAACTTGGCCAGCCCACTTCTGACACCAGAGTCCAGATGGTTTATAAAGACATTAAAGAGTACAGGTCCAAGAACAGAGTCCGGGGGACACCACTGGTCACTAAGTGCCATGTTGATTCAGTTCCATCAACTACCATTCTCTGGTCCAAACTCAGAGCCAGTTCTCCAGGCATCAGACTGTAGTGTAGTCGAGGCCACAGTTGCCTAATTTTTCCATGAGGACATCATGGGAAACCAAACCAAAGGCTTTTTTAAAGTCCAAATGTATTATATCAACCTCTTCCCCTTTGTCCAGGTGATATGTCACCTGAACATAGAAGGAAACAAAATTGGTCAGGCAAGACCTACCACAACAAATCCATCCTGGCTATCCCTCAGAATGTTGCTTTCTGTTAGCCTGTTGAGAATGGTTTTTTGATAATTTTTTCCAAGATCTTTCCAGGGATTGAAGTCAAACTGATTGACCTGTAGTTTCCCAGATCTTCTTTCCTCCCTTTCTTGAAGATAGGCACCACATTGGCCATCTTCCAATCTTCAGGTACTTCACCTGAGCACCATGAGTTCTCGAATATCCTTGCCAGTGGTCATGCTATGATGTCTGCCAGTTCCTTTACCACTCTTGGGTGCAATCTGTCTGGACCAGTGGATTTGTGGGTGTCCAGCCTCTCCAGATGCTCCCTTATAAGATTTACACCAATGGTGGGCATATATTCCCCCTTACCCTGGTCATCCCACATCATGTTAGGCAGAGTGGTCCCTTTGGGCTGGTGAAAACCGGACGCAAAGTAATCATTAAGTAGATTGGCTTTTTCCTGAGTGTCATTTGTCAGCTGCCCCAATTGGTTTAGCAGGGGTCCAATGTTGCCCTTGTTTTTCTTCTGACTCCCCACATATCTGAAAAAGGACTTTTTATTGTCCTTGATTCATGTAGCTAGTTTCAGTTTGGTTGCAGCCTTGGATTTCCTAGTTCACTCCATACAGGTGCAGACCACTGCAGAATACTCCTCCTTAGTGGTGTTTCCTGTTTTCCATCCTTTATAAGTCTTTCTTTTTAGACATAGGAGGTCCATGGGCTCCCTGTTGAGCTAAAGGGGTTGCTGAGCCCTTTTACCACCTTTCCTATAGGTTGGGATGGACTTCCCTTGTGCTTCAATTAGAAAGAATACAAAATTTGGTGATTTTTTTTTGTCCTTTTCATTTTTTTTTTTTTTTGCCATCCCAGGGTCTTTATGTTCTTAAATTATTTTTATTTTTTTTTACTTTTTTATGAATGTACTACCAAATGAATAGACTGATTTAAAGCAGGTATGATTTATTAATTTATGGATATTTATTTTTCACATTATGATATGTGATTTTATAGTGTTTTTAACAGTATATTGTCATTATTAAATTATCTGCCCTCCTGGGCATCCTTGATTGGGATGGTTTAGACAGGGATGATCCTGTCTTGACCAAGTGCCTGAACTAGATGACCTTGTGAGGTTGTTTTCCGTCCTACTTTGCTATGTTTCTATAGCAACACTTCCCATGACTGGTGCAGTTCAAATCATGAAAGATCAGAGCGTGTCATGAAGGCACAGTCCAGTGTTGGGTATGATGTGGAGCTCCAAGGCTTAATAACTATTAAAAAAAAGCATCATCTAAAGCAGGGGTGGGCAAAATGTGGCCTGCAGGCCAGATGTGGCCCACCAGGCCACTCTATCCAGCCCACAGGACCCCTAAAAAATTTAGAAAATTAATATTAATGTGGCCCTCGATGGCTTGCCAAAACTCAGTAAGCGGCCGTCCACCCAAAATAATTGCCCGCCCCTGATAAAGTAACTGGCAAAGAAAAGCCTTTTTAACAATTACTCAATATTTATTTATTGACAAAGTACCCCAGTGTTTCTGGTGTTTCAGACACAATATAATCATTTTAGTTATGAGGCTCAAACGCTTACTGCTGAACAACTTTCCTAAATGATCAGTCATAATGTTGCATTTAAGTCTATAATAGGAGTTTTGTGCCTGCCTCAATAGAAAACAAACTAGTAAATGTTTAAAAGAAGAAAACCACCAATTATTCTATAGCAGCACACTATCTTAAATCCCCAATTTTATTATTTTGCTGGACTAGAAGTCTGCAGTATGCATAATAGATCACATAAATACAAAACATAAAGAATGACTGAAAGCAATTACATTATTGAACACAAAATTTTAATTTGTCACTGTTTTGCACATGTACCATAAAAATAAAGTAGTCCAAAACAGCACATATAAGAAGGCTTTATCTGATTCCAGTTACCACAAGGCACCCAAATATCACAGGAAAAAACAAAATTATTATACTGTATAATATACTTATTGTACTGTGTTGGTTATTCAGTATTTACTTTATGCAGTATATCTTTATTTTAATCCCTTGTATTTTTTGCAGGTTTTCCAGTACCAAATTTAAACCTAGTTTTGTTTTAAAGCATGTGGACTGTAAAACTGTGTAGGTTCTGGAACTTCAAATGAAGTGTTAGGTGACTACTCCCATTCACAAATCAGATGCACGCTGCATTTTTAAGGGTGGATATTTGTTGCAATGAATCAATTAAAACCTCTTCTGACACGTTAAATGTGTGTTCCTAGACCTGTTTCACAGGTTTTGCAGGAGGGAAAATAACAACATGTGACAGCACCTAGGAGCCAAATGTACAAGAGAAGATCAGAGGTTTGCATGAGTGAGCTTGGCTTTCCAAAATACTTTTTGAAACACTATTAAAGAGACTGTAGAAATATCCAGCACAGAGCACCATGGTGGAGCAAGAGATTTTGCAATCGTGTAGTTATCCTCCAGAAAAATGTAAGTGTGAAAAATTTGATTTTTGATAAGAAATGGAGAAAATGAAAGAAAAAAATCTAGCTATTGTAGTTGTAAAAGTATGGGAAGTAGTAAAGAAGTCTTCAAATGAATAAATATAGAAGCAATTAGCTTTACCTTTATGGACTTGTAGGCTTGATGGGCAAAAGAGAAGCGCTTTTACCTGAAAGACTCTTCTATGAAGCATTTTGAAAGTTTTTAAACGTAAAACTTGCTGCTTTTATTTGCAAACTTTATTCATGCTATTAACTGCTTCAGTATTGGAGACATGAACAGTGAGTTTTTGTTACCTTGAAATAACTTGCATAATAGACTGAAGCGCTGGGAAAGCATTTTCTAGCAAGACCGGGCATGAAAAATACAATATGCAGAGACTTTTTTCTTAAGTTGTCAGGGAGCTTTCTATCCCTTTGTCCAAATATCAGCTGAGGGTTATCAGCACTGTCTTAAATTCAGCCAGGAAACAGAAGTGAACTGTCACTGAGCTTCACTGCCAGTTTAATATTTATTTTAATACAGGAAAATGAAACAGTGAATGAATAAAATATCACTTTTTTTTCTTGTTTTTGGAGGAGGAAACATATGGGGGGGCTATCGGTTTTTGTTTTGTTTCGTTTTCTCATTGGTGGTGGCAGTGTTATTAAGGAGTTATCTATCCACTTTTGGACAAAGGCAAATATAATTTTAAGTACTGTTGACTAAAATGTAGCAGAAAACCAAAAATTTAGGAAACTAATTACTAATGGGTATGGATTGAATAAGTCTAAAATGGAGCTGTTTAAGCAAAATCATAAAGAAGGGTAGAATTTGGAACTGATATGCCCGTAAACCTCTTGGATGCCCTGCCAAAGTGAAGCCTCGAAGTCAAGGCAGTTCCCTCCTCCTGAATATAGTGCTTGCTAGCTTTTAAGTGACTTGGCTTCTTTGTTTTGGCAACATAAGATTTGATAACATGTTATCGCCTCAGATTTGCTTCTAATAAAAGGACTGGTTTTCATCTGAAAATGAAGATGTAGCTTGCTAAATGTTCTACAGGGTTTTCCAGATACATGGAAGAATTTTTTTTGAGTGATTAACAAGATAACAGAGCCTCGTCTCCATGAAAACACTGAATCTCCAGGAGTGAAAATTTATTTTCTATTTTGTCCTCTTTATATTCTGTACACTCCTTTTTTTACATGAAGGAGAACACAAGCTTGAAGAGAAGAGGGCAGGTTTTTTTCTATCTCCCACTGTTTATTTCCTACCTGAGAGCATGCTTGTGGTGTGGTTCCCCTGAAAGAACCATGCCAGTGAGCTGAAAAAATAAAAACCCATTCCCTCCTCATACATATGACTGATGGTTATAGAGGTCTTGATGGAAAAGACCTAGCATCACACCTTCAGTTCTTCAGCACCGATCAGCACAAATTGGCTGTAAAATTGGATTCCTGAAAATTATCTCTGAATATCAAAGGATCAAGCTGTTCCCCATATTCCTACCCCCTGTATAGGAGTGGGGGCTGTTGCAAGGGAAGTATGATCAAAACACAGCTACCTCCAGCTGCCAGAACAACTTCCTCAGAGCAGCAGGGAGCAACTTAGCACTTAACACCTGGGGTGCTCTGAAATGTTCTAGGGGATCAAACCACTTCTGGCTGCTTCCTCGGAGGCCTCAAGAGTGGGGAGTTACAAGGGTAGCATTAATCCTCCTTTGCTGTCCAGATTGGTTCTGCACTGGGCCTTGCTTGCTTAGCAGAGGAACAATACCCTAGGAGGATCTTGATGTCAAATGACTGCAATGAACATTTTCTAAAATTCTTAAAGGATGCCAAGAATTGTGGTATTTGTGGCTATGGAACGGTAATGCTTTGTTTTGTCTGCAAAGTGCTCTTTTTCTATTCCAGTGAAATCTGTGTGCAGAGGCAAACAGTTGTTTTATTTTCAGAGTTGTTGCAGTCTGTGTGACAGAAATGAAGTATACATAGTGCTTGTTTGTGGTGAGCTTAATTGTGTTCTCAATCTAAAATAACAGCAATATTGGATTGAAATCATACAACTGCTTTTTATGGACTATATAAGGTCAATGAAACTATTACATTATTCCTCTTCACATAGTTTGTAGAACTTGGTGGTGTGTGTGGGTGAATGGGTAGGTGGGTGCATCTATACATGCTATTAGTGAGATGCAATAAACTCTGGTGCACTTTGCACCACTCATGTGCTTTAAGGCACAGCATTTACATGTGCACCTGGAACCACAGAAGTCTCAGCCAGGGTGGAGCAGCCACAGACTGGCAGAAAGTCCTGGGGGTATGCCCCAGGCTCAGGGTGGTGGCAGAGGGCAGCAAAGTGGCTGGTTGGGGCACAAGGTTGCTATAGCGTGGGGCTAGCCTGGAAGCAGCCCCCACACTTTAGCACCCTCATGTCCTAACTAGCCCCTGTCACAGCCTACACATGTTCAATCATATGCAAATACTCTGCCCTAAGATAGTACTGTCCCTGACAGACTATGGCGGAGTTAATTCCTGTGCCTTAATACCAGTGCACGTATAGACTGTGACACTTTAGTGTGGACCTAATTAATCTACTCCACAGTAAAACGCACATGTAGAAGCACCCAGTGTGTGTGTGTGTTTTCTGTCTCAGTTTTGACACCAAACTGAATCAGTACTTCATATGAGAAAGAGCTTATTACAACTTGCTGTGTAGAATCAGCAGCAGATTGATAGAAGACTCTTTTTAGCAAGGCATTGTGAAAGGGAGTGAACTTAATACAGGAATGAAGGTTTGTATTCAGCACAGTGAAGAAAATCAGGTCTATGATGCTCACAGAGATGTGAGTCAGGAATACCATGCTTTGAAGTCAGTGCAGTATGGTTGTTAAAAGGTGAGCAAGTGGGAGGAGAATCAGCCTTAGTGAATTCACAATCTCATTAAAAGATTGTAAAAGAGGGTGTGCATCTTTGATACAGAAGTCAAAAAGCAATCCCAGTCCACCTAGGCAGCTCGCAATACTTCTGAGATATCTTACCTGATATAGCAACACACACAAAGTTAAGTGCTTTGCTAGACTGGGCCAAACTTTGCAGAGCTTAGCCCATAAATAAAAAAAAGTAGGCGTGTTAAAGAGGATACCTCTGTTGTGGCCCAATAACTGTATTGTCTTCAGCAGTGTGCAGCTATGCAGCAGGATTTTTGTGTGTAATGTTAGTGGTATAAGACACTTCAGACAAAATTTCCTCCCAGGAGTGCTGACTGAGAAGAGAAACCGTCTTTGTTGTGGAGCTTAAAGAGGGTTACCAATAACTAGTGGAAAACTCAAAATCAAGCAGTCTGAAATACAGGGTCTACCTACTACTGATCATGTGTTTCCAAGTGTATTCTTTTTACCAGCTTTTAGCTAAGTACAGACAGTCAAAAAGCCCAAGGTGGAATCAATTAAATCTATACAGGTTTTTCTAAGCTGCATAGCTTGAACTGATACCAAACTCAACTGATTTTCAGTCTTCCCTTGGCGAAGGCAGGCAAATGCCTGCACTGGCCACTGCCAGAACACCTCCCAGATCCCCGGAACACAAGGGCCCTGCCACCTTACCAGCCCCCAGCCTGTCAAGTGCAGAAGGCAGGCAAGAGGGGAATGGACCCCCACTCTGGCCTGCCCCTCCTCCCCAGCAGGGGTCAGCTATGGGGGAAGCCCCAAAGTGCAGGTTTTCTCTCCCCACTCCCCTCACAGCCCAACTTCATTGGCTAGGAACATGAGGGCCCCTTTGCCAGGCCCTGGCCCATCAACTGTGGGGGGAGGGAGGGGGAATGGACCCACTCCAGCCCCACCCCAGCAGTGTTCCCAGTCAGCAGAGCCAGGCTGAGACCGAAGGGGAGAGGGAAAACCCATGCCTGGGGGCTTCCCTCCCAATCACTTATCAGACTCTGGTTAAGGGAGGCAGGGCTGGAGCAGGAGTCAATTTGCCCACTCCCTCCATTGCCCACAGTCCTGGCTGGGGAGCAGAGGCTTTGGTGCCTCTGCTCCCCAGAGGCACCAAATGGTTGGGGAGCAGACCACCCAGCTCAGCTGGAGCTAACAACAGGGGCCATAAAGCTTTCTGGTATGCTGGAAGACTATGACCACCAGTATCTGGGGGAACATTTGTTCACCAAAGCGCCCCAAGGGATGACGAGGTCGAATGGTCACAAACTACTTCAAGATCATTTCAGGCTGGACATAAGGAAGAATTTCTTTACTGTCTGAGTCCTCAAGGTCTGGAAGAGCCTGCCATTGGAGGTGGTTCAAGCACCTACATTGAACACCTTCAAGAAAAAATTGGATGCTTATCTTGCTGGGATCCTATGACCCCAGCTGACTTCCTGCCCTTCAGGCGGGGGGCTGGACTCGATGATCTTTCAAGCTCCCTTCCAGCCCTAATGTCTATGAATCTATGAATCTTAACTTGATTTGCTATAGGATCTAGGACTGAAGTTGGACAGGATGGTTTACCCTAAATAAGTCAAGTCTGATATTATATCCATCCAGGTTTATCTTAAACTGGTTTCAGCCACTTTGAAAGCAGTTTATGTGCACTGAACTTAGAATAATAAAAAAGAAGAGTTGAAAGGGACCTCCTAGATGACTAGGAGGTCATCTAGTCCAACCGCCTGCTCAAAGCAGGATCATCTGCAACTAGATCATCCCAGCCAAGGCTTTGTTTAGCTGGGTCTTAAAAACCTCCAAAGATGGAGATTCCACAACCTCTCTGGTTAACCTGTTCCAGTGTTTTACTACCCTCCCTGTGAGAAAGTTTTTCCTAATATCTAATCTAAACTTCCTTTGCTGCAACTTGAGACCATTGCTCCTTGCTCTGTTATCTGCCATCATTAAGAACAGTCTAGCTCCATCCTCTTTGGAACCCCCCTTCAGGTAGTTGAAGACTGCCATTAAATCTCCTTTGTCTTCTCTAAACTAAAAAAGCCCGGTTTCCTCAGCCTCTTCTCCTAAGTCATGTACC